TAAATAATAATAAATAAATATTATAATAATAATAATAATAAAAAAAATTTTTTTACTAACTTTAATAATTGCAATAATTTTCTCAAACAACTTTTTACCAGGATTAATGAAATCATAGAAATCCATCAGTGTGGGATCTTCGGATCGCATTGCACATGCACTGAGCATCATGCCTCGTCTCTGGTGTTTCAGGTGATTTACGAGCTGCCGACAGCCAATCAGTGGTGTTTCGATGTGCAGTGGTGTCCTCGTAACCCCGCCCTCCTGTCAGCCGCATCGTTTGACGGACGGATCAGTGTGTACTCTGTGATGGGAGGACGTCTTCAGCAGCAGCAGCACAGCACGGTGGACCAGGTGAGATTATGGAAACATGTAACCTGCTTTTCTTTGAGGAATGATGATCACATGATCTCTCTCTCTGTTCTTAGATATCGGCTTCATTTGACACCAGCGACCCGTTTGGAACCGGTCAGACTCTTCCTCCTCTGCAGGTTCCTCAGCCCTCAGTCGAAACCACCATCATCCCTCCGCTAAAAAAGCCGCCCAAGTGGGTACGGAGGCCCGTAGGAGCATCTTTCGCGGTGAGTATTACAGAGACATTGAGAAATCTGGTAAGATGTGTCTATGACGAAAAATGTTCGTCAGCAAAGTTTTTTCCCCTGACTAAGACGAGACGATAATAAGGTCATTAAACGATAGCTGAGACTATATCAGCATGCAATATTGTTGATATAAATGTTGTTAAAAGAACAAAAACTTCACTTTTGCGGTTGCAAAGAGCTCAAATCCCCCAATCAAAGCTTTTCTCTCTGCTTTTTGCTTTATACAATCTGGCAACCACTCACACACGCTCTCTCATGATTTGAAAACACAGACATAAAATACTGTACATGTAAGCTGGATTTCAGCGATGTCTGTTTAAATGAAAGCGTCATTCAGCAGTCTGTGTTCTGTCAGGGATCTCCACTGTATTGTTTGCTGATTGTAACATTATTTACGCAACCTCTGTGCGACAATAACGCCTTTTTTGCCGTTGTTTTAAAATAGAAACATTGGGCTAATGCAATTTGGAATTATTGTAAAATAAATTTCCCAAGTGAGAACAATCATTGCAATTAAAATTGAGCAAAATAATTAACATTATACAGAAAGATGAAAATGTGTAAGTTTACACTGACTAAAATGCTTTTCCCCTGACTAAGACGAGACGATAATAAGGTCATTAAACGATAGCTGAGACTATATCAGCATGCAATATTGTTGATGAAAATGTTGTTAAAAGAACAAAAACTTCACTTTTGCGGTGCTCAAATCCCCCAATCAAAGCTTTTCTCTCTGCTTTTTGCTTTATACAATCTGGCAACCACTCACACACACTCTCTCATGATTTGAAAACACAGACATAAAATACTGTACATGTAAGCTGGATTTCAGCGATGTCTGTTTAAATGAAAGCGTCATTCAGCAGTCTGTGTTCTGTCAGGGATCTCCACTGTATTGTTTGCTGATTGTAACATTATTTACGCAACCTCTGTGCGACAATAACGCCTTTTTTGCCGTTGTTTTAAAATAGAAACATTGGGCTAATGCAATTTGGAATTATTGTAAAATAAATTTCCCAAGTGAGAACAATCATTGCAATTAAAATTGAGCAAAATAATTAACATTATACAGAAAGATGAAAATGTGTAAGTTTACACTGACTAAAATGCTCAAACGTATTTAGTCGACCAAAACTAAAACAGGACAAGTTGACTAAACGTGACCCTGGAGCACAAAACCAGTCATAAGGGTCAATTTTGTGAAATTGAGATTTATACATCATCTGAAAGCTGAATAAATAAGCTTAACATTGATGTATGGTTTGTTAGGATAGAACAATATTTGGCTGAGATACAACTATTTGAAAATCTAGAATCTGAGGGTGCAAAAAAATCTAAATATTGAGAAAATCATCTTTAAAGTTGTCCAAATGAAGTTCTTAGCAATGCATATTACTAATCAAACATTAAGTTTTGATATATTTATGGTAGGAAATGTACAAAATATCTTCATGGAACATGATCTTTACTTAATATCCTAATGATTTTTGGCATAAAAGAGAAATGTATAATTGTGACCCATACAATGTATTGTTGGCTATTGCTACAAATATACCCCAGAGACTTAACACTGCTTTTGTGCTGCAGGGACACATATATGATAAACAATAAAAGTTACATTTGACACCAGACTAACACTAAGACTAAATAAAAAAATAAAATAAATAGCTGACAAAATGAACACTGTTGAGCTTCCTGTGAGTCTGTGCTTGCTTCTGTCTCCTCTAGTTCGGAGGGAAGCTGGTGACGTTTGAGAGCCCTAATGTGGCTCCGCAGCAGCCAATCCGGCGACAGGTGCATGTGAGTCAGGTGACCACAGAGACGGAGTTCCTCCAGCGCTCGGACGAGCTACAGGCCACTCTACAGTCAGGATCCTTCAGCAGCTACTGCCACGGCAAGATCAGCAGCGCCCCGTCGGACGCCGAGCAGGACATATGGAGGTTCCTCATGGTACAAACATTCACATTTACACACAACTACAACTCCACATGTGACCTGGACCCTGCAGCACAAAAGCAGTGTTAAGCAGTACAGGTATATTTGTAGCAATAGCCAACAATACATTGTATGGGTCAGAATTATCCATTTCTTTATTATGCCAAAAATCATTAGGATATTAAGTAAAGATCATGTTCCATGAAGATATTTAGGAAATTCCATACCTAAAACGTAATATGCATTGCTAAGAACTTCATCTGAACAACTTTAAAGATGATTTTCTCAATATTTAGATTTTTTTCCTATCCTAACAAACCATACATCAATGGAAAGATCATTTATTCAGCTTTCTGATGCAGTTTGCACAAATTGTTCCCTTATGATTGGTTTTGTGCTCCAGGGTCACAAATATCGTTCCAACTCTTATTTACTAGGGCTGGGACAATAAATCGATGCATTGCGATTCGTGGATCGATTCTGAGATTATCGGAATGCATTGTAATTCTCTCTGGAATCGATTCTGAGCTTAGTTTTTAACAGTAGATGGCGCTCTAGCTTAGTTTTTAACAGTAGATGGCGCTCTAGCTTAGTTTTTAACAGTAGATGGCGCTCTAGCTTAGTTTTTAACAGTAGATGGCGCTCTAGCTTAGTTTTTAACAGTAGATGGCGCTCTAGCTTAGTTTTTAACCGTACACTTAAATGCTCATGAATAAGAGTGTGTGTGCGTTAAATGTACTTGCACAGGCTTTTATGCTTTATGATGAGATTAATGTAAACACAGCCCACTGTGAACATCCTTGTAATTCGCTTCTAACTTTATGAATGATTATTTTAGGTTCAGGTGGTGTGTGTGTAAGGAACTGGAAGCAAGCAGAATACACCTAAAAGCACGCAGTGCCATCTGCTGTTAAAAACTAAGCTCAGAAACGATTCAAGAGAGAATCACGATGCCTTCGGAAAATCTCAGAATCGATGCAGAATCATTTCTCGATTCGCGATGCATCGATTTATTGTCCCAGCCCTATTATTTACTTTCTTCTGCGAAACACAAACTGAGATGCCACAAAACCTGGCTTCATTCAACCTAATGAAACGCATAGTTAACACTGTGTCTTAAATCACTGTAGTGCACTACATTCCAATACTGTTTCAGGAGGTCTTAAAAAGTCTTAATTCACCCTATGAAGGCCTAGAAAGAATCTTAAATCGGAGCCAGAAGTCTAAAATTCATAAAGGCATGGCAAATAAATGTTGCACGCACTTCAAAACATGAACATCTCGTATCTATCTTTTTGTCTTTTTAATACAAGTCTTCTTAAATCAGGATGCATTTGCTTGAGATGCAAAATGTTTTGAAAAAAAGACATGATGTCTGAAAAAATTGAGCAAAATTGTCTAGTTCAGATACGGATTTAGCATCTTTTATAATGTTGGGTAGGGCTGCACGATTTGAAATCTATTTGTGATTTTTCTGATTAAAAATTATGATATTAAAATGTGATAAAAAAAAATCATTTGTAGAGCTGTACATTTTGGCCAATATGTTGTTGTTTTTAATAATAATAATAATTGCAATAATTATTATTGCTAAATAAAATCTAAAAAGAATATACTATTGCAATATTTCACTGTAAAATAAAAAATCAAGTTTTTAAGAAAAATAATATTAATTACTTTTTACGATACAATACTAATTATCTAAGCTTTTATTTATTTGATGAAAACTGCAGGAAGCCCTTAAAGCTTCTCTGTTATTAATAACTGCTTAAGAATTGTTTTATTTCGGATTCAAGAGAGCATTTGATTAGACAGAAAATCAGACAGAATGATGTCTTTTTAAAAAAAATTGAGTTCATGCGTTCCCTGGGAATCGAACCCATGACTTTGCTGTTGCAAGCACCGGAATAGAGAATATAGATCATCTTTAAGCTGTCATATTCATGCTAAAATCCACAGAGAACTGATGCATGAATCAGTTTGAGGTGAAATGCATGACTGTTCTGTGGTGTTTTTAACAGGTGAACTTTGAAGATGAAGCGCGTGTGAAGTTTCTGCGGCTGCTGGGCTTCAGTAAAGACGAGCTGCAGAGGAAGGTATCGCATCAAACTACAGCACTGTCAACATTCGGATTCATTCACTAGTCATTATATTAGATGAGAGCGGGGTAAACTGTGCCACCTATGGGCAGAAGTTGTCCTATAAAATAAGACATTTGTTCTAAATGCAAGACAAAATAATCAATTTTGTAATTACTAAAAACCTCATTACTTTTCAGATGTTTTGCCATGAGAATCATGAATAATGCATGTTCTTCAGTGACCAGGAGATATTACGCTCCCATACTGACAAAAAATGGCCATAACAGTTGTTCATATGACTTATGCACTATATTCCAAGTTTTACGACTAATAATAACTAAAATAATTAAAATGAGACTACTAATAATAACAATAATAAGATAAGAATACTACTACTACTAATAATAACAATAATAAAAATAACTAATGCTAATAATAATGCTTATAATATTAACTAATAATATTTATTAATTCTTTTTTAGTCATTATTCTTATTAAAATATTGTGTTAGTGTTAGTTATTAAATAATAATTAATTATTTTAATGTTTAGTCTTATTATTTGTATTATTATTTTAATAATAATAATTATTATTATTATTATTAAATTCTAATATGCATTAAATATTAAATTACTAATAAAAATTATTAGTATTATTTAAATTTTTTATTAGTCTTAATATTATTATTTTTATTATTAGTCACAATATTCTTTAAATTATCATTATTATAATTAGTCTTCGTCTATTTTTATTCTAGATGATGCTGATGATGTTTGAGAATAGGGCCGTGTATCGGCAAAAATCTGGCGATACGATATGCATCACGATACAGGGGTTGCGAAACGATATGTTGCGATATATTGCGATACTGTAAGCAAGACGATACATTGGGATATTTCTTAAAACATAAAAAACATTTTGCCACTGTTTAAGTTCAGAGATAAGAAGAGTGCTATCTAGCGATCGGGATATAAACTCAAAACGAAACCATGAATCTTTATTGCATTTTTGTGAATCGATACAGTATCGCCAAACTAAATATCGCGATACTCATGTGTATTGATATTTTCTTACACCCCTATGAGAGAAACAGACCCATAATTTTTGAGTGAAGCTCTAATTCTAGCCTCTATTTGTGCAGATCTCAGCGTGTTTGGGGAGGAAGCTTCATCCGAACGGTTTAGACGTGAATGATCTGGCTGAGAAGATGCAGACGCTTTCTGATCAGGTGTGTGTCAGCTGCGCTTTAAATCATTGCATGCATGCGAGAAATCTCATGTTGTGCTGTATCTGATGTTGAATCGTCCAATCAGAGAGCAGATGAGTCAGACGGTTTGTCCGGCCGTGAGTCTCCGGCTGATTTCTTCAGTCAGCTACCAAAGAAAGAGAAAGACCGAGCGCCCTTCCAGATCCCCGTGTCCTCAGGTGAGCGTCTCTGAATGACACGCGTGTTATGATATTGATGTTCAGATATGAATGTGGTGCTGTGTTGAGCAGATACGGACGGTCTGATCAGTCAGGCTCTGTTGGTGGGGAACTTCGAGGCTGCGGTGGATCTGTGCTTGAACGACGGCCGTTTCGCCGAAGCCATCCTCCTGTCAATCAGCGGAGGGGAGGAGCTACTGAAGAAGACCCAGCAACGCTACCTCCGCCAACAGACCAACAGCGTCTCCATGGTAACCGCTTATGATCATTAGCATCTCTGCATGATGTCGTTTTAGTTGCAAACTTTATCAGTATTCACTTCCATCTCCACTGTAAGTGTTATTTAATTGTTTTCTGTTTATTATTATTATTATTATTAGTTGTAGTAGTAATAGTAGTTGTTGTCTTATTAAAATATTTTTTATAGTAGTAATAAAAATATGACTTTTTATAACTATAATAATTTAAAAAGTATTATTTGTTCTTATTAGTCTAGTTAGTCTTATGTTATTATTATTATTGAATATAATATTAAAATGACTAATAATAACAATTAGAATACTACTACTACTTCAAACAATAATAATAACATGAATAATTAGTTTTATATTTATATACTTGTTATATTATAATATATATTATAAAACATTTGTTATATTATGAAGTTATTGTTGTTAGTATTGTTATTAGTCGTTATTCTTATTATTGATTATAAGACGACTAATAACAACACGAATAATTAAATAATATAATAATATATATTAAATAATTAATTATTTTTGTTGTTAGTCTTATTTTTTTATTAAATTAAATTGTTATTATTAGTATTATTATTGTTTATTATTAGTCTTAGTTATTATCAGTAATTATCATTATTAATATTGTTATTATTTGTAGCAATTTCTTATTAGTCATTATTATTATTATTGTTTTTATTAGTCACAATATTCTTTAAATTACTGTTATTATTAGTCAC